TATTATATTATAATTACGAAATATTATTCTCAAATTAAATATATTCAATTATTTTGCTATATCAATTTTTTATTATTATATATTAAATATTATTATTCAAATAGTATTATTTATTATTAGTATAACTTTATACTATGATTAATATAATATTATGTTATTAAAAATATTAATATTGTGGTATTAGTAGTATATTATTAGTAAATTAATATATTATCAACACTTTAGTGTTATATAACATATTGTAGTTTTTAATATATTAGAGTTTACTAATACTATAAAATATATTAATAATTCATGATATAAATAAAATTTATTATACTATTAATATATTGCTATTGTATTAACATTTATTACTAATATATTATTTTATTATTAATAAATAATTTTACTATAGTATATTATATTATATAATTCAGTATATCATATATTAATATTTTATATGTATTATGTTACACTTATTACATAAATATGTGCTTTTTAATTATAATAATTTCTATTATACTATTCTACTATTGTTTTATTATAAAATTTTTACTATTATATAACATTTTATAATTATTAATTTTATATATTATTTATTAAAAACAATAATATTGTAATAATTACATAATATAATATTTATTCTATTGCATAGTTTTATAATATAATAAGCATGTTGATAATAGATTATATTAATTATATTTAATATATTATGTTAGCTATCATATCCACATCTACCAAGCTCAAAAAAACTTTTAGTTGTTTAAAAATAACTATTGTGTTTTTGGTTTTATGTTGTTTTAGCTCAAAAAACATCATGGTTTTCAAATACATGGTGTTTTATTTTTGACAAAAACACTATGGGAACAAAGAAAAGAACATAATTTCCAAATGTAACCTACATTTTCTTCACGAGAACCTTGTTCGGAAATTATTTTCAAGAGCAAAAAGTCGTAAGGGAGATATAACAAAATTTATTTACCCGTGCAACATGCTAGGCTGCTAGCAGAATGTTCGAAGAACTAGACTTTTCAATTTGACATGAAATGGATTAGACTTAAGTTTGTTTGGTGATAAATATTTTTTTTGAGAGAATATATGCCCTCCTGTAACATTTAAAAAAAAATCTTTAGCTGAATTAGTCGAGAGAATCTATATTTTATTGCTCAAAAAAGTCAAAGCCCTATATTCTTTTTCCCAATAAAAAATATCAGCTTTGAAAGATTATGCTACAAGTACTTTTCTAAGCATTTATACTATTTTCAAGGGAATAAAAATGACTTTTTATTAGTAACTGTTGAAGATTCCGTTAAAAACCATCTTGAAATATATTTGAATATTCAATAAAGTACTAAAAAATATTTGAAATATTTTTCTTCTAGGGATATATATTACACACTACACTCAAATTATATATATGACTCGCTTGAATCTACAATAGAAAAATTTCATTGACCTGATTTCCATGTAAAAGTTAAATTGTAAAATTCTTAATTCCACGACGTTATCGGGTCCGCAAATGCGATGACGATGAAGGAAAGAAAAAACAAAAGAATGTCGTAACTTTTATCTTAAGCGGCGTCCTCTATAACTCCGAACCGAACCCGATAATGATAACGGGTTCTTCCATCCTAATCCGATATCCGCGCTACAAGACAAGTGGCGCCCCTTTTCGTTCTCGTTTCGGAAACAACGGACCCCTCTCCCCAACCGGAGTTAATTTCCTCATCATTTCCCTCTCCCAAGTCCCCCTTTACATTTCTCAATTCAAATCGAAACCCTAATTCTTGACATTGGATCTCGTTTTGGTATCGAGATGGATGGGAACGGGAACGGGGACGGAGAGGAGAGCAGCGCTTTCGAGGTGGCGATCGTAGTGCTGAAGAGAAGAGGGAAGGACGGAGATGGTGGAGGTGGGGCCCGCGACGGAGTCGAGTTCTTGGTGAAGGAATTGGAGAGGGCTGGATTGGTTGTTGAGAGAGTGAATGGGGTCTCGGGTGAGTTTCTTAAGGTAAGATCTTGTTGCTGAGATTTTTTTTTACAATTTAGAGCATTCTCTGGATCTTTCTATCTTTTATTATTATTATTAGTGGATTACCATTAATAATATTCTAAAAATACAAATGAGTTGACTCACTGCAATTTTTTTATTCTGAGTATGTTATGAGGTTTAAAAAAAAAGATACCTCTTGCTGATGTGCATGCTGTCGAGTGAGATGGGCCTGAATTTTTTTTTTGGTATAAATTTATGCTTAAATTAGTTAAATAGTGTGCAAAGTTGTCTACTAATGAAAGGGCTGAATTGATGATTTCGTCAAATATTGAAAGACAGTGTTTATTTACTCTAGGTATTCTCTATATAATCCAAGCAAGGTATGTTTATGTTAGAGGGCTTTCCCGTTTTGGTTAAAAGTCCATTGCCTTAAGATTTCGGACAAGTGTTTATATGGCAGAAGTGGTCCCAAGGCTATATGAGAAAGTGGGTTAACTGTTCAATGTTAAGTTTAATTGAAATAGTTTTACAACAGACTGGTTATTTGTTTGAGCGTTCAATGTTAAGTTTTGATTGCTCATGTTTTATCTATTCTTATATTATGGTGCACATGTAAAAGATTAATGTTAGAAGCAAGCGATCAATTGGATTGCATTGTTGTTTTATATGTGCACGATTCTTGGTATTCTCAAATTTCAACTAGAGATTTGTTTCATTCAAAATAACCTTTATCCCGTGGCATTTGGTACAGCTATGTTGTATGACTAAAATTTAACGGTTTCACTGAAATATATCCCACCCCCAAATCACTCAAAATTGGTGTCAAATTCCTAGAATAGGAAATCATGGGCAACAAGGATCTTAACTCTTAGAAATCCTTAGCAATACAACATGCTTTATTGATTGATAGCTTAAAGTCATTCAACCAAAGAACTATAATAGGGAAATATGATAAAAATTAATTGAATGAAACATCTTTTTAAGCTCTAATATCTTGGGTCTTTATCAAGTCACAGAGCATTTTGTTTGCTGTGGTCTAAGGTATGGCCTGTGAAAATGCTGGTTATTGAAGTTGAACCCGATTGTACTAATAGAAAAAGAATTTAGGCATTGATCATGAGAGTTCTTTTATAAAAACCTTTAAAGTTTTTAATTTAATTTTCATGAGAGTGTGCTTTGGTTGGTGGCATATCATTTTATTGACATTTTTTTATCTTGCAGTTGGCAGCACCAATGAGGACTTTAGGGAGAGCTGCTGCTGACTTGCAAATAAAAAAGTTGACCTACTTTGGTGATTGATATTTACTTTATGTTTATGGTAATTTCTATGTACCAGTCCAATCAGGAATCAATGACTTGTCTTTTCTTATGTCTTATTTTTTAGGGGTGGATTTACCTTTCGACTGGGATCAGGTCACAGCATTTGTAAGGCAGCCAGATGGTTCCTTGTTTAGCTGGTGTGAGCGATTTAGCTGTTTCCGTCATTTGATATACGGCATTGTATGTTTCTGTTCCGTTATTCATACTGAACACTTTTTCTGTTTTTCTCTAATAAGTTTTACGGTTTTTCTATAGAGTGCCCATGGGCACTCTTTAAGAGATGAGAGAGATAGAGAGAAATGAATTATGCACAGAAATTAATACAAATCAGGGAGGCCCATGGGCTATTCATTTCTCTCTCTCTCTCCTCCCTTATAGAGTGCCCATGGGCACTCTATAGAAAAACTGTAAGTTTTAAGATCCTGTCACATTTCCTTAGTCAACCTATTTGTTTTTACACATTCCATATAGGCCAGCTTTTGATCTTTCTTACAATGTATTAAAGGACCGGAACTCTATATACAGCATGTCAAGCATACTGATTTTTATTTACCTCAGAATTGTATACATCCACAAGCATGCTGATATTTATTCACTTAATCATTCTTATAATGTATAGCTTGGAGCAACAAATTGGAACATCCAGTTGGTAGAAGTAGCTGATTCACAAAAGTAGACTTCCATATATCATAAACACTTCTTTGGTGAAAAGAGAACATTCAACCCAAAGCAGCACGGGGTTAGACTCTCCCAGCTGACACAAAGAAAACCAGGATGGCATAAACATAAGCCAGCCTGAATATTGGATGTTGCAAAATGAATAATCCTGTCCAAATTCAGACAACAAGGATCTCTTAAGCAAAGGTTAGGTGTAGCGGAGCCCCATACCCTTTACAGTGAATCAGCAACCTAGCATATTGTGCTAAGAAACACCACTGTGAACTGAAAATTGTTGAAGATATGAAAAATGCCATGTATCAGCCAAATTATGCACCTAGATGAGGAATGGAGGCATCACAACACCAGCGAAGGTACAAAAGAACCTGCATTCTCACATTCAAGTAATAAAAAAAATATCAGCTACCAGCTTATAAAACAATCTCAATCCTGGTACCAAATTACTTTTAACAGAGAGATTATGGAAGAGTTAGAACAACATTAAGTTTGGTTGTTGTTTGCGAATTTGGTTAAGAACTAATAGACCATATTTATCATCTTCATAGAAATAGTTGGTAGGAACTTGTAAAGCATGTAACCCAAAAAACTGTAGGAGTCAAGCTAGTAAACGGGAATTGAGTTGGTTGATGGATCTTTTAAGTGACGGTTCTCAGTGTTCACAAGCTAGTTAGAAAATATTACTCAGTTGGCTGAAGAAAATGCCTACTGGTGCATTAAGTGGGAGGTTTTTGATAAGTACTACTGAATTGGAAAAATGAAATGAACCGGCATGAAGAGCAAGACAGTTCGACAATGCAACTCTTAGGAAATTTCATACTATGTCACCTCTGTTAGACGTTTAAGGACGCGTTTGAAGTGCTTAAAACTTTTGCAAGGACATAACTAAAGATAGTGATCATAATCCTGTAAGTGCACTAGTGCAGCCTCTGACTAAGGTATGCAAATGTTATCTATTGCTTTGACCAACAACAACATCCTACTGAACAAGCCGTTGAACAGGAAGCTGCTATTTTTCTGCATTCTTACAATGAATTAAGGCTATGTTTCTTAGTATATAAAAGAGCGTATTGGACTCTCCCAAACAGAATTATGACCAACCAATTGATACAGGTGAACATAGCCCAAGCAGATTTGACACTATGGTTCGATGGGAAACTGTTCCAGTATGAAAGAAATGAATCACTTCTTAAAAGAATGGAAATGGAAGGGATTGTTAAACAAGTGTTCCCCATGCATGGTACTGTAATCCATCATTTTTGTTTTTCAGCTTATTGTTTGTATTTGTAGTGGTTGCTGAGTGAAATAAAGCTATTGCACGCAGATGAACCGAAGAGGAAACAACTCATCAGAAGTTGGGCCCTTAACTGGTTGGACTTCACATGGCAGCCAATTGATGAAATTTATTCATACTTTGGGACAAAGGTTGGAGAATCCTGGACCGAGAAACTTTGTGATTTTCATTTAGACTACTTCATTGTTTTCTCCTTATAATGTTTTAGCTCCCATAAGTTCATTGTCAGTAGAGTAGCTCTATTTTATGTTTGATTGTGCAGATTGCTACATATTTTGCTTTCCTTGGAATGTATACGCGCTGGTTGTTTTTTCCAGCTGGCTTTGGACTTGCACTTCAAGTTATAGATTTCGGGTGTACTATCTACCTCTTCTTGACTGCTAAATATTATCTATATTCTGAAATATGCACCATTTTTAATCCTAAAATCTCCTATGTATCAGATCAATGCAGCTGGTTGTGCTTCCCGCTTTCTTCGTATTCATCATATCATGGGCAGTATTTTTCTTCCAGTTCTGGAAACGAAAAAATTCGGCCCTTTTAGCCAGGTGACCTTCATCCACTGTTTCCCAAACTCATGGTTAACCAGAACTTTGATTTTTGCAAGCAAGAAATAACAGGAATATTGTCGGCCATTTTACAGATGGGGAATAGATGGTGAACTAAACTCGTTTGCCCAGCGCCAAGGAGAATCCGAAAAGAAATTAAACACTGACAGACCAATGGAGAAAAAGATGTTGCAAAGAGATGAGTGGCTGGGACTTCTGCTAAAAATAAGAAATAATGCCCTTATAGTTGTGGCTATTATTTGTCTCCAGTTGCCATTTGAATTGGCTTATGCTCACTTACACGAGATTATTGAATCTGATTTTTTAAAGTGAGCAACTTTGATGCATTTAACTTTCTGGAGTTGTATAAGAATTTTTGGAGATCGTGCATGTTTGTGTGCATTTTTCTGAAAACTTTTCATGATTTTTATACTTATTATATTCTTACACAAGTGCATATATGCTGACATGTCTATGCGTATTTATGTTTTTCTGAGGACGTTCGTGATTTTCTACACTTATCATGTACATCACAAATGCATATACACTGGGATACTGAATATGTCTACTAGTACACGCGTGTATGCGCGCGTGTGTGCATGCATGTGTGTGTTGAATTGACTTTTTTATATTACTTGTTTCTTTATTTTTTGATATTAAAATTGACTTTTATTTTATTGTTTTTTTAGATAAATGCGCTTTTTCATGCTTGATTTTCTAAAGCTTTATTCATCTTTCCTTTGTCTGCTTATGTTGAACTATCCTCTTTGCTAGCAGCTATGGTATTGCACAGTGTTCTAACAGAAGATGCGTCATGTAAGCCAACCTCATAGGTCCTCTTAGTGCCAGTTTGGTATTGATTTTTTTAGAATGCTTCTGATTTAAAAAAAAAAAACAGTTAATAATGGTGTTTGGTAATTAAAAAAAATTCGCATGCTTATTGCAATGCCTTCTGCTTTTAAGAGGTTGCTTTTAAAAGCAACATGAGGATGTTTTTAAATGTAGCTTTGCTTTTTGTGGTTTATGCGTCATATATACCCATTGGCTTTGGTAATATTTTCACTATCAATAAACATGAAACTAAAGTCGTGTATTTTGGTCATTTTCACTTACAAAGATCTTTTATGCACATTTTTACCGAACAGTTTATCTGCTTTTGGAAGCAGCTTTTGATATATGGTTATCAAAAGGTTATTTTCAGCTACTAATATAAGATGCTTCTATAAACTACTTATATAAGAAACTTATTATAAACTCTAGCAATACCAAACTGACCCTTATAGTCTCTTGCGAAGAAAAAAGAATTTGAGGCGCTTTTTAAGTACAGGTTCTGTTTCCCTTCTTTTTTGCAGTATTCCATTTTCTTAAGGTGGTTGAAGAATGAGACAATAGCCTCTTATGACTATGTATTGCTGGCTGATTGGCAATCTTATCATTAACTAAAGATGGTTTCTTGATAAGTTTCACAACTGTCAAACTTTAGGCAAAAAGCACAGTGAAAGGAGTGCTCTGCCATGCAAGATTCCAGCATATATAGGCCACACAACCCCATCCATAGAACAAAGAGAAAACAAGAAAAGAAGCCCTTTCTCTCTCATACACACACATACATGCGCACATGCAGGACACACATGCCACAGAGTAGAATACACAGAAGAACATGAAATATATACAGTTTTTAACCATGTAGCAGTATGAAATTAGCATCCATAAAATTTTGGTATGGTAATTTTCGTATGGTTCTGTATTTGACAATGACATGCATTTCGGTATTGCTGTACTATTTTTCAGATATATCTTAACAGCAGTTTACCTTCTGGCCATTCAATATTACACAAAGATTGGGGGGAAAGTGTCTGTTATCCTTATAAAATACGAAAAAAATCAGGGAGAGGAGTCTAGTGCTGACAGCTTGGTATACAAGGTACGGATCTGAGAATGTCCTCTCTTTGGTTGATATTTTGTCAGAACTTTAACCTTTTGTTTCTTTTGGCAGGTTTTTGGTCTTTATTTTATGCAATCTTATATTGGGTTGTTTTATCATACCGTGTTGTACTGGAACTTGACTACTCTTCGCCAAGTTTTGATCCAACGCCTTATTGTTTCGCAGGCATGTTCCCAATAATTGGGCTTAGCTATTATCTCTTTTGCATGTTTCCTTTTTCATCATCTTGCGTATTTACATAATTCTCAGGTGCTGGATAATGTGGTGGAGAACTCCATCCCTTACCTCAAGTACAGCTATAAGAAATATAAAGCTGTTCAGTAAGGTCCCTAAACTTATGTTAGCCAATTGTCAGTCTTCATTTGGGTGGTATATGCTTAGCCAGAAAAAAGGTAATGAACAATAATTGTTTTACTTGAAGCAAGAAAAAGCATGAGAAAGGATCATCAGGGGGGAAGCCCATACTGGCTACCAGAGTAGAGAAAGAGTACCTCAAACCTTCGTATAGTGCATCTATAGGAGAGGACCTTGAAGATGGTCTCTTTGATGGTAATGCAGTATCCTTAATGTTTCGAAACGAGAGTGCATTAAAGGGAACCTAACATAATAAATGTTTCGCTTTGCTACAGATTTCTTGGAATTAGCTCTGCAGTTTGGAATGATCATGATGTTTGCGTGTGCTTTCCCTCTGTTGTTCTGCTTTGCTGCTTTGGTACATATATGTTGGTTGATTTAGTTATGTTCTCCGTTATTGTAAATGCTTAGGGTTAATTTCACATAACCTGGTGAGGCACCCTAATGATTAGGAGGTTATATGAGATAAACAAAGTTTGGGGGGGGTATGTGCAATTACCCCAAAGTTTAGGGGGTTTTTGTGAAATTAACCCAAATGCTTATAAGAACATACAGAAAGGAAAGCTATATGGAAGTTCTGTCAAATGTGCAGAATAACGTGACAGAAATCAGGACAGATGCACTGAAGCTGCTTGTCATGTTGAAGAGACCAATTCCTCGTGCAGCTGCAACAATTGGAGCTTGGCTGAACATATTTCAGGTATGTTGATCGGTAATGTGTAGTTATAACATTGATACATTTATGGTTTAAACTTTAAAGCATGTAACCGTACTTGATTCCACCAAATAGTTATGGAGGTGTTGAGTATTTAAAGTCACCGACCATTGACATCTGAGCTTTTTGAACATGTTCTCCAACTCCGCACCTTGAAAATATTAGTCTTGACCCGATTATGAGATGCATATGCAATTCAATAATCATGAAAATATTAAACTTGAGCCAATTAAGAGGTGCATGTGCACTCGATTATGAGATGCATGCGCACTTAAATAATCATGCAAACACGCGGTATATTTTAGTTATCTGTTTTTGCCGTGGTCTTATCAATAACCTTTATGTCCAGAGATCCATACGGTCAAATAAAGTGCTATACTTGATGAAATGCATGGTTTGATTACTGGGATGAAAATTCCTTGGATTGCATTTGAGGTTACTCCTAGGTTTGTTGGGGTTGAGGATGTTATTATGCAAAATGCTTGTTTGAAACCTAATTATGATCCTCATAATGTCATTATTCTTTTTCTAATTACTCTGTAAAAGAGTTACTGTATTTAAAAGTGGAATTTTTTTTTGGAGTTGACTGTACTATTTTAAGAAATCCATAGCATCCACCAATATATTATTAGTTATCTTATTGCATAGAAGTTCAATCCAAACATTGATTATAAAAATTAAAATTCTCATAGATTGATGAGACTCAATTTTCATCATGATGATCACTGAAACAAAAGATCAATGAAATTTCCTGGTGAATAAAATGTATTTAATGTAGTAACTTTGAATAGTTCCTATTTGTCTAAGAAAAAATTTATTCTGTCTGATTTTGATTGGTTGGTTATTATGCTCCTTCAGTTTCTAATAGTGATGGCAATCTGCACCAACTCCATACTCCTCATTTGCTTGTATGATCAAGAGGGCAAGTGGAGGATAGAACCGGGTCTGGCAGCAATCCTCATAATGGAACATCTTCTCCTCTTTATTAAATTTGGGTTCTCTCATTTTGTTCCAGAGGTAATTGACATTTACAAGGCTTTCCCTAAAATGTATTTGGAGCTCTAAGATCTCGATGATAATTTTATGCTTCAATAACAGGAGCCTGCTTGGGTGAAGGCGAATCGGGTGCGAAATATAGCACGGGATGCATATTCGAAGCAACTATTGAGGAGTATCTCCAACTTGGAATTGAAGAGGGAGTAAGTTTTGTGAAGGTTTTCCCAGTTTTGTACAAACAGATGTTGCACTAACCATAAGTTTTTGAGAAGAATTGTATATCAGAGCTATGCTTCGTTGCTTGTTTACTTCAAATGCAAAAAAGAGTTTGCCTGTAAAAATATCCTCTAATAATATCTCCCACATCAAATAAATCAATAAATTTAATAGAAATAACAAGATTGTACTCTACCATATGATTATTTACAGGAACGAAAGAATCAAAATCAGTCGTCGTCTTCATGAATCTGATGATTTCTCTCGTGAAGGAAAACTCCCACTAAGCTGGCGAGCATAAGCAACAACGGCCTTTGCCCATCTCCTTATCTCCTTCTTGAGCTTCTCTGAATCCAGCTCTTTCAATTGCTTAGCCTCCATCTTGAACTCTATGCCAGAAAAACACCGGTCAAAGCGAGCTCGTTTGGGGCTCTCTCCTCCTCCATCATAGTCCTCTGAAGGTCTAGCTCGAGGTTTTTGCAACGACATGATGCAAAAGTTTTTGACTGTCTTTTTCTATAAAAAATCATGTTGGCTGGTGAAAGAGGTTCATATAGACGAGAAGCTTAGAAAATGTGAAGTCCAGAGATGTAGTTTTCTGCACGCATTCACTTAGTGTTATTTCTTAGAACTCACAAACTTGGCTTTCAAGTTGTGCACCTAAGTCTCAACTTGATTTGGTCACATGAGAATATTAGGCATTATTCTGCTCTAGGAACAAATTGGATTATATTAGGAGTTTTTTTTTAAAGACCCTTTTGCTAATTATTTAGCAAAACCGACCTCTTTTTGGCATGTTGACCAAAAAGAGGTCGGTTTTGAAAATTTAGTACTTGGAAACGGATTCGGATCCTCTCCACTACAAAGAAAATAGTGGAGGGACCACTACATAATCACAGTCATTGATTATCTAGTTGATGGTTATGATTTTTCTTTTAGTACAAATTAGGAATGAGTGCAATACACGGGGTATGGTAAGTGTTAGATTTAGATTGTACCATAACCGCCTACTAAATAATCAACGCTTGAGATTAAAAGTAGTGGTCTCTCCACTACTTTTTTTTAGTGGAGAGGATCCAAATCCCTTGGAAACATACGACACTAATAGTCCAGTATGTTTCATGGCCAATTAATCCTAAGCCTCACAAACTCATGTCCAACCTCCTCGGCCCCGCTGACTCCTTCCCCGAACTCATGTCCTCCCTCAATAG